ATATAGTTTAATTCTATTATATGATTAAAAATTTTGATAAAGGATTTCTTTTATTAACATTTCTATTATTAATTTTTATTTTTAATAGATTCAATCGTAAATTGAAAATTAAATATTTTCTATAATTTACTAGAACCACCGAATCTTTTCACGCTTCGAAATACAGTAATGATATTAACTTTCTTTTTTATTGCGAAAGACGCGTGAAGTCAGAGGAAAAGGGTTAAAAAGATAACGAAATGGAACGAATGGGGCATGAATTTACGGAAGCGTCTATCCAAGCAGAAACGAGAAGAAGATGAAATCGGATGCATCCAGTCGCATGTATTCGTTGGATGCACTATACATGTAACGTACTCTATGCACACATAGCAAACAGCATACAGATACACATAATGTACTTCTATCCGGTATGTAGACTGGAAGCTTGACATCGTCCTCTTTGACATACTTCCTGTTATTTCTAGAAAAATCTAATTAAGTTATTTACGTCTTTTTCCAATTATATATACTTATCGTATAATTAAATTTTTAAATTAAAATAAAAATTGTACAAGTACTATAAGAATATTCGTGTAATAATATTTTTGACTCGATATCCAGGTTTCTGCGGTACAGGTAGGCCTCCTACAACACGGCATCTTATAACACGGTTTCGCTATAACACGATTCATAAATTGCAGCAACCCTCCTACAACACGGCATCCTGTAACACGCTTTCGCTCTAACAAAATAAGAAAATTGCAAAAACCATTATACAACACTGTATTTTTACAGCCGTGGCGAGGCTTGCATCGTTATTTTCTGAATTGTCAGAAAATAAAATTGGTGGCATATTACAACTTGCTAAATCAATCGGAGGCGAAGGTTTTGTGGATATGGCTATTGAGGACGTTCAAGATTTATTAGTGGCAGAAAAAGTTGACGAAGCGGATTTGATGGCATCCGAAGCTGTAAATCAAATCGATTCTGAGGACACTAGAACTGATGAAAATTGTGCAGTTAATAATTTAACATTAAAAAAATTACAAGATGGCTTAAGCTTAGCTGAAAATCTCGAGTCATTTTTCTCGAATGCAGATCGTTCCGCTGAAAGAAGCCGAAAATTCAAAAGGAAGCTGCAAGACTGTCTAGCTTCATGCCGAGAAATTTACAATGACCTGGTAAGAACCAGCAAGCAAAGTAAAATTACAGAATTTTTTAAGAGGGAAGAAGATGCAAGAACTTTAAATGAAGAAAAAAGTTCTGAAAGTGAAGGCGATATCATTACACCGAAAAAACATTCTCGGTTGATTATATTGAGCAGTGACGACGAAGAAATTTATTAAATTCAAGTTGCGTTAAATTGAAATAATATTTTTTGTTTCTTTTTGTTTTGTGTTGTACATACATTTATATTTTTAATAAAAATTAAGTTGCTCATGTAGAATTAAGGAAAAATTTGTTTTCAATGAGTTTTCGGAACATAACCCCCCTTTTTGTACTGGCTCTGGGTCTCATACAACACAGTTTCAAACAACACGGCATTTTCTAGGAACCCATCTACAGCGGTATAAGAGGGTTACCTGTATTTGAAAGCTTACTACAATAATACTTTACTATGGATAGTGAATAACAATTTCTAAAGTGTTATTCGTCCTGTAAGTGGATAACTCAAAAAAATCGAAAAAAAATTAACCAAAATTGTATAATTATATAAAAATTATACAATAACTAGAGCCAAAAATCGCGAGAACCGATAGAGATTTAGAAAAATTAAGCAATGAAAGTCAAACGACGTAGTAACTTTCCGCGGCCTGTCACATTCGGCACAATCTATCATAAACGATGGGTTACAATCGGCAAAAAAATAGCAAACTAATTAAAACACAGATCGCTGCACGCAATTAGAATAGAAAATCGAGAAAATCTGAAGAAATTCGGAAAATATAAGCGATGAAAGTCAAACGATGAAACCCATTTCTGCGGCCTGTCACATTCGGCACTATCTTTCATAAACGATGGGTTAAAATCGGAAAGAAACAGGCGAACTAATTAAAACACAGAGCGCTGCACGCAATTAGGTTGGAAAATCGTGAAAATTTGAAGAGATTCGGAACATATAAGCGATGAAAGTCAAACCACGTAATAGATTTCCGCGGCCTGTCACATTCGGCACTATCTTTCATAAACGATCGGTTAAAATCGGAAAGTAACCGGCAAACTAATTAAAACACAGATCACTCCTCGCAATGAGGTTGGAAGATCGAGAAAATTTGAAGAGATTCGGAAGATATAAGCGATCAAAGTCAAACGACGTAATAGATTTCCGCGGCCTGTCACATTCGGCACTATCTTTCATAAACGATCGGTTAAAATCGGAAAGGAACCGGCAAACTAATTAAAACACAGATCACTGCA